GACATGGTTTCTTAATGGGGTTCAACTATGGTTTCTTTGGCTCCGGCAAAAGCACTAATTCAAGAAATGGCTTTGCTAGAGAAACACGGAGAAGTCATTTTTTGTACTACAAACATAAAACCACCCAAACATTACTTCTCTAACTTTTCCGACTCTTGGGCGAAGCCGGTTGCAAAGAGGTACTAGCGCATCGCTAGAAAAGTGCCTTACGTAAAAGGCTTGAAAAAGAGCCTCTAACCAATACTAGTAAGCCGTTTTAGATAAGATTAATGGAATGATTTATAATTTGGGATGGATGAAGTACGTCGCTAGAAAAGTGCCTTACATAAAGGCTTGGAAAAGAATCTCTAACCAACACTAGTAAGCAGTTAGATAAGAATTAAGATCGATGGAAGACGCTGGGTCAATTAGTATTGCTTATAGCAGACAAGTCTACAGACGTTTGCTCTCAAGTAGGCATGCACGCATCCGTGTTCTACATGTGTACAACTACTAGCCGTAGTGAAAGCGATAACAAAAGCCTGTGTGCAGTAAATCCTTTGGGCTCCACCTAAGCTCGCATAACACATGCACAACACGCCTCAGCTATTTCTGGCAACAGCGTCACCATCTTGGCGTCTCGCCTGGCATTGTCAACTCGACGAGCGCAGAGGTGGGCGAACAGGCACCACAGGCCGCGCAACAGCCTCCAGCTCCCGCAGGCCGCAGGCAATCCGCCGGCCATCCGGCCGAGCAAGGACCCCGCCCCCGCGACCGCCCCCCGCAAAAGATAAATAAAATCCGGCGCGGCAAAGTCCCTAGGACGACGGACGGAGAAAGATAGGCCAGGCGGACAGGGGACGCCGAGACGGGACGCCACAGCGGGCCGGGGGACGAAGCCGAAAAAAAAAATCGCCCCCAAGACCACGACCCACGAAGCTTCCAGGAAGCTCGCTCCCGCGCTCCCCGCCCGCACGCCTTTCTATATCTCCCGCCTCCCGCCTCCCCGTCCTCTCCATTCCTCCTGTCCACCACCCAAGCCCCTCGGATCGGATCCGGTCCCGTGTTGTGTTTCCATTGCCAGCCAGCGGCGGCGCAGGAGACGGAGGCGAAGATGAAGCTGTCCATCCAGTCGCTCGCCAGGAAGCTGTCCCTGCCGTCCCCGAAGCGGGGCGGCGGCGAGGACGGGAAGAACACGAAGAAGCGGTCGCTGTCGCGCGGCGAGACGCCGTCGTTCGCGTCCTCGACATCCTCCTCCTCATCTGACGACGCGCCGGCGCGGTCCTCCACGCCGCGGTCCGTGCTGCTGACGCCGGCGCCGCTGGAGATCCCGCGGCGGGAGCTGGAGGCCGTGCTGCGGCGCCTGGGCCACGCCGAGCCGTCCGACGCCGAGCTCGACGCCGTGGCCGCGCTCGCCGCGCAGCCTCCGCCTGCAGACGCCGACGGCGACCTCATGGAGGCGTTCCGCGTGTTCGACGCGGACGGCGACGGCCGCATCACCGCCGAGGAGCTCCTCGCCGTCCTGGAGGGCATCCTCGGCGGCGGGGCCGACGCGTGCAGCCTCGACGACTGCCGCCGCATGATCGGCGGCGTCGACACCGACGGCGACGGATTCGTTGGTTTCCAGGACTTCGCGCGCATGATGATGACCGCCACCGCCGCCACGGCCGACGCCCGGACCTTCTTGTGATCTGTCCGTCTAGCCGTCCGGCTCCTCCGTCCCCGTCCCTCTCCCGCTTCCGTGCCAACCATCACCACCACGGCCCTGATGCCCGCCGAAGATCATCCTGCTGCGACTGTCGACGCCGGCCGCGAGCGAGACGCGAGACCGTTCTTCTGCTGCCGCTGTCAAAAAAGAGTCTTTTCGGCGCGCAGGATGATAGGCTACCATCTCATCTACTAGTAGGAGTGCTTCATTATTATTCTATTATAAAGTGCTTGCGTGCTGCTAATCCATGCACGATTAGGAAGAGAACCCCCGTCGTGCATGCAGCTTGTAAAATCCGTTCGAGATCGACCTCGACCTCGACAGTGAGTAGTGACCGGCATGCATGGCGAATGGATGCCTCGTTCTTTCAATTTTTTATTTGAATCCTACTGCTACCCGGGGTCCATGCTTGTTCATTCTCCACTGAGGCCCTGCTTAGGTTCCACCCAAAATCCAAAATTTTCTAGGATTCTCATCGCATCAAATCTTACGGTACATGCATGAGTATTAAATATAGGTAAAAAGAATAATTAATTGCACAGTTTGTCCATAATTAATGAGACAAATCTTTTAAGCCTAAATAGTCCATAATTAGATAATTTTTGCTAAATACAAATGAAGTGCTACCGTGTCCATTTTCCAAACTGAAAGGGATCTAAACAGGCCATGAGAGAGTCCTGTGGAGATTCGTACTGTATTTGAGATTTGGTGGAATTTTGGCTGCATGCGTATGGGATAAATGAATGATTGGAGATTCGAGTTCGCGTGTGCCCGACTGCCGATTCCGGCGACGGCAACGTGGCGAGCCAAAGCCAACGTCTCTGCTGCTGACTGAGACTGACCAAGCGAGAGTGCCCTTTTTGTCTCTGCTGCTGACTGAGACTGACAGAAGTTTGTATATGACGCTACCAAAGGGAGATACGTATATACTGCACACTTATCTTCTCGTTAGCAGTTTTTGTTTTTTTGTTTATCAGATCAGAAAATGTTTCTTCAGCACCCAAGATAAGGCTCGGGTGACCTGTAAGGCTATAACTGTATTTTTCGTGAGAACGTCTATCAGCTGTCATGCCATATCCGCTAGCCCTCTTTCTTTGTTTTCTCCCTACCAGGAAATGAGAAAACTGTGTGCTCTACTCCTTCCAGGCCTTGCCTTTCCTTTCCTTTTCCACAGTTTTTTTTTAAAGGATTAGCAGGAGCACTGCCTATTCATTTAAGTAGGAGAGATTATTCATTTTCCACTGTTGTTCAGAGAAAAGGCCCGTCAGTTTCCAACAAGAGAATTGCAAGGCAAGTTTCGGTCTCACACAAGTTGCAGTAGCTATTGGTATCCTGCAGTGGAGTGCAGCCTTTTTTAAGGATTACTGTACTCGGGTAGTACCTTTTCGTGCTCGAAGCAACAACTCATCAGATGGTAGTTACAGCGAGCGAACCATGATCACACAACAATCATATCAAGTAAATCGAACTCATATAGATCAGACAAAAGCATGCAGATGATGAGCACTGGCTGCAAGTCTGCATAGTCAAGCTTGGAGCAATTGCACAGAAATTTCCAGTGGTGAAATTGCCATCGAATTTCTAGATAGAACCCCGAGGCTAGAAAAAGCCAATCTCTTTTGCGTTTTGACTGACTAACAAGTAGTAAGGACGACACTCCAGCCTCCAGGTCCTACACTCCTACTACGAATCTGCAACGGGACTTGCGTTTGGGCCAGGGGAAATTGCACACCAGTAACCAGTTGCATTGCATGGGGTCCGGCCAGACCACAGGCCGCCAGAGGAAATTCCACAAATTTCAGTCTAGTACTAGGCATTGTCGATGCGTTTAGATGCAACAAGTTCCTGTTGTGCGGCCGACATGCGGAACATGGTTACATTATTACGGATAGCTGCTCTGAAATCTCTGAACTTTCCGGTTAATCCGTGCGGTTGGTTAGTACGTACTATACTGCTAGTGCTACTCCGATCCGTATTATACTATTGCCCACCAAATGAGTGCTAAGGATTATTCTCATAAAACAACTGTAGGCACTAACTGTAGACGCATATACGCATAGACAGTGTCGCGAATCCACAGTGGATACCTGTAGTCGCTCCAAAGCGGGTTAAGCCGGGTTTAAGGACACGCGAACGGGGCGTGCTATCCTCACCGTCCAACACTGCATCGAGACGTGTGCAATCGAAACGCACGAATCTCCGGACGACGGAGCTGCGGGGCCCACCCGTGCCTCGTGAGTCGGGACAATGGTCCCGCTCACTGCCCGCTGCCCTGCTGTCGCCTTGTGGTGAATGGTGATGATGTTGGTGTCGCAGAGCAGTGGTCACATGCGGATTCATCAGCTCTCTGGTTGCCTCTGGCGGTCTGGCTGGCCCAGTGAATCCAAGGACCTGCGGCTCCAGTGGTCCACGCCGATGCCATGCCTGGCCTGGCCACTGGGCCAGGTGAGACGACGACGACCCATGTGTGGGTGCTTGGCTGCTAGCCGCCGATGTGCTGCAAACTGCAAAGACGTCGTAGACTTGACTGGAACTGGATACTTGGATTGGTCAAGAACTACTACTACACACAAGTGGATTTAGGAAAGGCTTTCCTCCACATCTCAAGGAAAGCGAGCGAGTTAGGCGCAGCTTTCACACCTACGGAGAAGTACCTAACCTAGCCTGGCCAAGTTTGTCTTCTTCACTTCAACCTTTTTCTTTTCTGAATGGCGCTTCACTTTTGCAAGCGCGGTGAGTACTACGACGAGTTGTCGTTTGCTGAAATCCCCTTCTCTGTCCGCGCGTGCACATGCACGGCTCTGCTTCTTTCCCTCCGTCAAGCCGTCGGCCGTTGCTGTGTGCCAGCTGACTGCGGTTGTGGCCGAGCTCGGAAAAAAAGAGGATCCGAGGACACTGCTTTGTTCCATTGTCCATTTGCTTCGACCTCGCTTTCAGGTTGTTCCCATGGACAATTTCCCGGCTCCTTCCTTTTCCTTGAGGTTGCTGCTTCAGCCACTGTGGCGTTCAGGCATAGCAGTCGGCAGTCGCCACCACTCAGCAGTGCACGGCCATGGGCGCCTTGCGTTGCCATGGAATGAAAGTACAGCGTGTCCAAGCAACTACGAGTAGGAAGTACAGGTGGCCTACTGCAACATACAAACTACAATCAAGTTGCAGCCGGCCTGGCATGCAACGGGGAAAGCTTGGGGGATGATCTGAATTCTGAAATCAGAGCCAACAGAAATGGTCCAGTTTTTGCTGAAGCAAATCCACTAGAAAGAACAACCGAAAGAAATCCACTACAGAAGGCCTACAAATAACGGGAAACTGCTCAACTAGACCATCCATCAACAGCATCGCCGACGAACCGTCCGTGAGCGTCCCAAGGCCGGGTTCCAAAGGACTTCCCGGCCATGCTCCGCTTCCTGTTCACCGTCCCGTCCTGTTGCGCGTACTCGGGGAAATACTCCAGAAACGACTTGGTTCCGAGCGAGCCCACTCCTTCGAAGAGGAACTCCCTCACCAGATCCTGTATAATATGGAGGCGAGTAAATTATACATAACTCGGAAGAACACCACAGAAATGGGGCCCAAAAGTAAATACTGCTGCTGCTAATCTGTTTCAGTGGTAGCAAGGAAGCAAACAACCTTGGCGCCACTCTCACCGACCAACTTCTTTAGCAGTGGGTAACCAGGATCCTGAAAAATAAACAGAACAGCAGGGTGATGGCTGATCCTCTGTACAGGTTGTATTTCATCATATGCAATGAACTAGGACACCAGCTAACCAACAGCATTTTGGGGGTTTGTTTTGGTAATGAACTAGTATAGTTAGCAACCGGAATTCAATACAAGTGATGTATAAATCCAATCGATACGATCTTTTATTGCATGGAACGAACAATTCTTGTGGAAGATCAGTCAAACCTTCTCTGCTCGCCATGTGAGATACTTATGTTGCGCTTCTCTATTACAATTGATTTTTTCTTCACAAGTTTCTCGAACCGCTCCATCCATTAACTCAAGCCAGACCTGCATGTCGAGAATAACGAGAATTAGTGGTAGCACAAACAAAATTCCAGGACAACAAAATTGGTGCGCACCTTATAGTAATCGACAAAGGCGGAGTATAGAGCTTGGTGGTTGGCTTCAGTTGGCTCAAATATCGTCCAGATAACAATGGGAGAGAAGAACCTCAGAGACTCGCTTGTAATTTTGCCACCCCAGGGCAGAAGCTGCATTTCATCTATTAAAGACATCGAGCTACACATAAAGTAAATACAGGAGGGCTTGAGGTTTCTGAACGTGTTATGTTTGGGGGAAGGATCAGATTGAAATACCTCACTGTACTTGTGTATAAGAGGCATCAAATTCCTGTAATATTTTTCCCTGTAATCCTTGTGTTCAGTGGTATCATACAAAGGATTGAGGTCCCTGAATACAAACTATTCATTCAGGTCATACGTGAACTGACAATTTTGTTTGCAGCAAAACCATTTTCTGAGACTTACAAGACAACAATACTACGTGCAGGGGATGAGAAGGCATTTGCACAAAATATAGGAAGGTCATATTCGGGTTCTGAGAACGCAGCAAAGTCAAGAACCTGCATTAGCACATGCATTATATATAAGTACTAGAACATATGCCACCACAGATGGGGCCATCAACAGTAAGAGATAATATGCAGTAGAATTTTATCTATCTATAATGCTAAAATGAGAACCCAACAAGCCCAACAGGGTGGGCCATCTTTTGCTACACTGTTATAAACTGCAGTCATAGGGATCAGAATCAAAATGTCAGAGACCAAACAAAAGCCATGTTTCTCTTGTATTGTAGGTAAACTTGTAACGATATGAATGAAACTGATGTTCCAAATTACATAGAACAAAATTCAAGAAAAACACTGAAACACCACCACCTGATATGAAAAGGTTTCAGGGGAAGTAGCATCACTACACAGTTAGACAATCAGATGCTCTGTAGAGAATTTGAATTAACAAATCCTTATCCAAGGTGCACGTCTATATGCAAGGAAACTCGAAAGAATTAATTTATTATTTAACACAATGTCTATGTTAGAAAAACCAGGAAAGCATGATTTCCCAGTTCTGAAGTCATATGACAACTTGTCGTGATTCAGGGACAGTTTCTAATATGTTACTAAATCTGCCAGTTCATAATTTTTTTAGGATGGTTTATGTAGAGTAGTAACCAAGAAAACAAGAAGAATCTAAGAGCACCAAAACCAGACCAGATACCTGAACCGAGTTTTTCTGCTCAATTGTCAAGCTCCGAAGCAGTCTAATCTTGGAAGTGCTGAATGACAAAGCATTGAGAACAGTATTATCCTCATTTGGTTTTATGAACTGGAACTTTTCCTGGAAGAGTAATGAAATAACTGTCAACTTTGTTGCAAAGAAAATGTGTAGATGACAATTGACAAGAGAATGACAAACATAACTGACAAGTGCTGAATAAAATTGGCAATAAGTCTTTGAATTGATAGCCAATTAGCCATTAGAGTGTCTGTGCTCTTTAAAACTTTTCTATGGGCTGTGTGCATCCTGTTACAGAGGTCATGGTGTGTTCAAGATGGTCGTGTCTTCTCGTTCTCTATATAATTGTCTTGAATTTTAGCAAAAGCTTCCATTATCGAGAAAACAAGTGCAGAATAAAACTTGCCAGTCAGTTCAATACTAGGATGGTATGTAAAAAATGATCACAAATCAAACTTCTAGATTAACCTACTGAGTCACAAGCACACTCAACAGACTGTTTTCCAGATTCCAGGACAATGGATTCGGTTCGGTGATTGTAGCAGCCTGCACTATCTGACTGAAATCACTAAACGTTCAAGTGGTAGCACGACAATATGTTGAAGTATCTTAGTATAATCCCCAATTTCAAATTGATTTGAAGTTGCCAAAGCAGCTATTAGGAACATCCGGCTCTATCTGAACGAACAATCCTGCTACGAGGCACGCCCACATGGCCAGCCACAAACAACCAGCAGAGCTTTTTTTCACTACTCCGAGACGCGGTGGCAAGCTTGAATAGTAACGGTGCCGAAGTCTCCATGACCCAGAGCTAGAGTTCCTCTTCAATGGAAGAAACGGGAGCACATAAGCTACCTCAGGCAGCTGAAGAACGTATATGAGAGTGAGTAGCTGGGGGAGCAAGAACCTGGGACGGGTGGGGGACGAGAGTGGAGCGGAGGCGGGTCTGCTCCAGCGCGAAGTGGACGAACTTCTGGTACGAGAAGCCGGCGCCGAGGCCGCCGCCGCCGCCGCCGCTCATTTCCGGTTCCGTGCTGGTACAGTGGTGAGAGCAAGGAGATGGAGCTCGGATGGGAACAGACGAGACGAGAGAGACAGAGTTGGGAAAAGCCACACGTACACGAGATGACCTTTCCATTTGCACCCACAAGCTTTCGTCACGGAATTTTTCCAGAAAAAAAAAGCTTTCGTCACGGATTGTTTTTTTTAACAAAAATACTACCAAGTGTGGCTTTCGTCACGACTGGCCTGATTTACCTGTGTTGTAATATAAATTGTAATTAATAACAATGAATATAACGAACCAAATTGTGACCATCATCTGCCTTGAACTGTGCTTACGTGAGCTGCTTATCAACGATGAAATATCTGAGGTGAGTTTTATCGATCTGTAGAAATGTCAACCTAGTCTCTAGTAGACATTCATAAGAGGAGGTGCGTTCACGTATGAAATGTGTGTGTTTTGCGGTGTGTATGGAGAAAGAGATGACCCGCGCCGCAAGGTTGGTTACCAAATCGTTCGCCACATTTTTTGCATGAAAATCGGACGCAAGACACTATAGACAAGTTTGAGCAATTGCGACACGTTAAAGCTATGGTACTCACGTCTGACTTCAGATATGATAACTTTTAGCTACATGTCCAAGGTCTTAAATTTTGTAACCTTGTAGTTGACCCGTTAAAACCGTGGTATCTTCATTGAAGACACCACAACTCATCCTCATCCTGGAGCAACAATTCTTGCTCTATCTCGTGCGTGTACTCTTATTGTTGCTGGCCCCACACCACCTCTATCGATCTCAGCCTCTCTCATCAAGTAGTAACAAGACACCACCAACATCCTTGATGGATGCCAAATAACTTATTTTGCCACTCCCTTCATTGACATCATCGCCCTATGGTTCTTGCATTCCTGGTTAGCTGCCTTATCCACCACCCACATTGTATGGACGAATTTAGCTTATTTTATCAGGTCCCACAACCTTCGATGACATTCTGTGATTTCTTAACAAAGGGAGTACCTCTAGTTTACGCACCAGTTTCTTTGAGTTCTTTCAGGCAAGAAACATCAACCATCGGATAACAACGATCCTAATGTTTATTCTTCGTCGAGACTGTTCACCTTCTTCTCTCATTTCCCTCACCTACCGCCTAGCTCCTCTAGCTTTGGCTGGGTCCTCGACGCTGAGCTGCTCCCCATTGCCCCCAACACGGTAATCTGTGGCCATCGTCGCTCCCAGCTCAACCCTTCCTATCCAGATATCCTTCGCCGCATGCTGATGGCAGCTCTCACCGCCTCCCCGCCTTTGCCCTCAAAAATTTGGGAGTCACCTGAAATTGATGTCAACTTCATGCGTTTGAACTGTAGAAAATGTGCTTAACAAAATAGCGTTCATATGTAAGTTCCCCACGCTTTTCATCTGTCTATCGTTTAATGGAACTAACCCAGTGTCGTTCCAAGCTGATTGATTCCCCCGGCTCCGTAGGTGAAATTGGTAGGGTACGCCCGTACGAATGTTGTACTAGTGTACGTATATGGCACTCAAAGCAGACACGTTGCTGAGTCTTTAGCGTTTATTTTTCTTTTGCTATAGAATAGCATTCTTTCCTTTTCGTGGAATTTTTCTTCTTCTAGAACACATACTTTTTTCAACTAATAACGTGGTAAATAAGTTCAACTTGAAGGAAAAAAAATGTTCCATGGGCAAAATTTCCAGTTACACTGTATTCATTTATTTATTTATTAGTCCGCCTAAAAGCGGCAAATAACACCGCCGCTTGATGGGTGTTTTAAAGAACACAAAGTCTATTCCCTTTTCCTTTTTGCAGTGCAGCCCACCCCACCCCCGGCCTGTGTTGTATCCTGCCGGCCTTGCGCATTTGGGCTCAGCAGCAGCGCATCAGCAGCCCTTCCGTTGGACCGGCTGGCAGATCAAGACTCGTTATCGTTAGCAACCCATCCGGAGCTGATTTTTTTTTTCCCTGAGCCAAAGCAAAACGCAACTCGGAGTCGGAGGCACGCGAGCCACACCTTTGTTCGTAGAGATCTAGAGATGATGCCGAACTTGATGAGACCGTTCGGAATCGGATGGATGCTGGCACCCCCAGATGGCACAGATTTGCACCGCGTAAACTGCACATGGATGGTGGATGCACGCATTGATGCACCCCCCAATATCCCATCCCTGGGTGGCTGGGTCATCTCGTCTCGTCTCGTCCGCACAGCACACACAGGGTGTCGGATATTCCTCCTCCCCGGGGTTCGGTAATCTTCACCACATGAGCACGCATGTGACTCTTGAGGCTCGGGCGCTCGGCGGCTTCTTTCCTTGGAGCCAGCAGTCAGCAGCAACACCCTTCGTCCCAGGAAAAGATTGATTCTATCTAGAATATTGCTTATCACTCAAATTATCTTAAATTAACTGTTTTTTATATAAAAAGACATCAATGCTTATTATGCTATGAAAAGATATCACTAAATTTGTCACGGAATATGTCCATACTATATTTATTTATTAGATTTGAGTCTTAAATGGGTACGCTCTGTTAAATTTAAATCAATTTGACACTGACAAAACATATCAGTGTTTTTTTTTTATCTTTTAGATCCATAAATAGAGCTAATAGTTAGCCGCTAATAATTAGCTTATTTAGCAAATGGATCCGGCTAATAGTCTAGATAACCATTAGCTAGTACTCCCTTGGTTATAAATTATAAGCCGCTTTTGACTGTTTTTCGGTTCATCCATTTTACTAGGTAACTAGACATATTGGTCCCGTTTGCTTCGTTGAAAAAACAAGACAAAACACTGTTTCTGCTGATTTGTTGTGAGAGAAAAACACTATTCCGGTTGAAAAAACAAGTTGAAAAAACGGATTATAAGAGAAGCAAACAGAGCCATTATTATATATGTATAGCAAAATAGATATAAAAAAAAAATCAAAGCAACTTATACGTAATTTACAAGGGAGGGAGTACCCAGCTAACAACTATCAACCCAAACCAGTTAGTATGAGCTAGCTAACTATTAACAACTAAGGAACGGAGGTAGTAACCGTACTTATTTTACTAAGCAACTTCTGACAGGATTTCGTATGATCCGTACGTATCTTCTTCTACTTGAATCTTGGGGCAGATAGGTAGGTGCACGGAAGGTCTCAAACCCGCTTGTTCAGTTGTGCCAGCCCGAGCCCGTGAGCCCGGCACGGAGCCCGCTATTTAGGCCCGGCCCTAGCCCGGCCCGGCCCAAAGGTCAATGGGCCCGGGCTGGCACGGCACGGGGGTGCAGATCGTGCTTGGGCCGCACCCTAGGCCCATAGGCTTGCAGCATATGGCCCATGGCAGAGCAAGCAGCCGGCGGCCCAAGAACGCCCTCCCTCTGGCCTCCTCCTGGCTCCCCCATATAATCTGCGACCCCCGGCCCCCCCCCCCCCCTACCCCTAACCCCATTCGCCTCCCAACCCATGGCGCACTTTTCGACACCCGATTTCGGTCGCTCGTGCATCCACTCGCCTCTCTCTCGTCGATCCATCTTAATGCCAGGTGCGGCATTGTCGTCCTTGGATCCATCGATGATATCGCCACCGCTCCATCACCTCTCCCCGAGTTACCCGCTCCCTCGGTCCCTCTCCGTCTTCCTTTTTACTCCTTCTCCTCTGTTTGTCGATGAACATGTGAGTCCGCCTCCCGTCTCTCTTCCGCCGTCGCTCGCCCCTTCTTAATCCGTCTTGCCCTTGTGTGGCCCTCGTCTTCTCTCCGTGGCACGGGCTCCGGCTGCTTGTGCAGCAAGTCCATCCTCATTCGTAACCCTAACCCTAGCCCCTAGATCTATACGTTTCTCGGTGTTTTGATTACATTTTTTTGAGATCATTTTCTCATCCGGCTCCGGTTCTTGCAGCAAGTCCATCCCCATTCGTAACCCTAACCCTAGCCCCTAGATCTATCGTTTCTCGGTGTTTTGATTACATTTTTTGGGATCATTTTCTCATCCTTTTTCTTCTTTTCGTGTTATTTTTCTTTGCAGTTCTGCTGTCGATGCCTCGTCGTCCAACTAGCCTTGGCGTGAAGCGACGACGAACAATGGCACCGCCGCCAAAAGTTGTAGCCGTAGCGCACCGTTGAGGAACGGTCTTTGGAGTTCACCGTCCATGGTGAGGGCCCCATGGCGTGTGACCCGTGAGGCGACGGTGCCATGTTCCTGTGTTGGCGACGATGACTTGGTGCGGTGCTGGCTGTCCCCGAAGCACGACGACGACGGCCGTGACCCCTTTGCGGTGTTTGATGACGCCACCCGCGGGACACAGCCGGCGATCGACGTCGATGCCGTCAATGTAGGACTTTGTTAGCAACCCATCCGGAGCTGATTTTTTTCCCCTGAGCCAAAACAAAACGCAACTCGGAGTCGGAGGCACGCGAGCCACACCTTTGTTCGTAGAGATCTAGAGATGATGCCGAACTTGACGAGATCGTTCGGAATCGGATGGATGCTGGCACCCCCAGATGGCACAGATTTGCACCGCGTAAACTGCACATGGATGGTGGATGCACGCATTGATGCACCCCAATATCCCATCCCTGGGTGGCTGGGTCATCTCGTCTCGTCTCGTCCGCACAGCACACACAGGGTGTCGGATATTCCTCCTCCCCGGTTCGGTAATCTTCACCACACGAGCACGCATGTGACTCTTGAGGCTCGGGCGCTCGGCGGCTTCTTTCCTTGGAGCCAGCAGTCAGCAGCAACACCCTTCGTCCCAGGAAAAGATTGATTCTATCTAGAATATTGCTTATCACTCAAATTATCTTAAATTAACTGTTTTTTATATAAAAAGACATCAATGCTTATTATGCTATGAACAGATATCACTAAATTTGTCACGGAATATGTCCATACTATATTTATTTATTAGATTTGAGTCTTAAATGGGTACGCTCTGTTAAATTTAAATCAATTTGACACTGACAAAACATATCAATGTGTTTTTTTATCTCTTAGATCCATAAATAGAGCTAATAGTTAGCCG